TCCCCCCACACCCCACACCCCTCCCTTCCATCCCTTCCACCCCGCAACCCCTGGCTGATCATCTCCAAACTCTTTTCCACTCTGGTCCCCCTCCCCCACCCCCTTCCAATCCATCATCCCATCATCGCCCATGATCTCCATCCCCTTCCCCTCCCCCTCCCCCTTCCCCCCCCCTCCGCCCACCCCCGTCCGCCCACCCTCCTTACCGACGGCGACCGCTGTTTGCGTCGGCCAGCAATCGGCAGTCGGCAGACGGCGGGAGTCTGCACACTCGACGGCACCACTCCAACAAGATGATGCCCCGCCGCCAACCCAACGTTATGGTGTTCAGTACGTACCCCCCCACACACCCACACCCACACCCACACCTTACACTACCCCCTTCTCTCCCCCTCCTCTCCTGTATATCCCTCTCTCCCTATTGGCCTTGGTTGGTATGGGTGAGGACGAGGTAGAATTGCGCGATTTTCGACGGCGCGAATGATCCCATTCATTCAATGATTGCGCCAAGGAGTAATCGTTGAATAACCAGGTCCCTCCCCTTCCTCCCCTCCTCCCAGCCAAGCCCTGGCCGACCCCATGGGTCGCGCCCAACACGCATAGCTTTGGATAGAACTCACAGACTGCTGAGCGAGAACAGACACCAACCAGGAGAGTGAGAAGGGTCGCAAGGCTCAGCTCTCGAACATTGCCGCTGCAAAGGTACGTCTGCTTGCTCTGTATCCCCATCCCCCTTCGCCTGCCCCCCGCCCCCGCCCCCCCCCTCGCCCGCTCTGAGCATTTTTCTACTTTGGCGCCAGACATGACACTATCCATACATATTCCGACCTACAGCAGGGAATCTTCCACCACCATCCATTCCCACCACATGTCCATGATCTTGGCAATATGTGCTACCATCTCTACTACTTGTGCGGCTTGTACCACTTTTATTCCGCCCTCTGGCGGTGGTGCAAGAGTGCCACTTGCTGCCCAGGTCGCCATCCCCCGTTCTGACGCTCCCCCCAAAACCCCCACCCTTCCCCCGCCCTCACTCGCCCACACTCTGCCCAACTCACCGCATTGGGCACTCCCTCTCGTTACTTTAGGCCGTGTCCGACGTGGTCCGGACGTGCCTTGGCCCGCGTGCCATGCTCAAGATGATCCTGGATCCGATGGGCGGCATTGTGATGACCAATGACGGCAACGCGATCCTTCGTGAGATCGACGTCAAGCATCCGGCGGCCAAGTCGATGATCGAGCTGTCGCGGACGCAGGACGAGGAGGTCGGCGACGGAACGACGTCTGTGGCGATTCTCGCCGGTGAGGTCATGGCGTCTGCGGAGCTTTTCCTCGAGCGCAACATGCACCCGATTGTCATCTGCTCGGCCTTCCGCCGCATGCTCGACGACGCGGTCGACTACATGGAGGAGCTCTCGTTCCCGATCGACCCGAACGACCGGCCGTCGATGATGAACCTCATCAAGTCGTGCCTGGGCACCAAGTTCTCGTCGCGGTGGATGGAGCTGATGTGCAACCTGGCGCTCGACGCCGTCAACACGGTCCACCTGGAGCAGGACGGCCGGACGGAGATCGACATCAAGCGGTACGCGCGCGTGGAGAAGATCCCCGGCGGGACCATGGAGGACTCGCGCGTCCTCTCGGGCGTCATGATCAACAAGGACATTGTGCACCAGAAGATGCGCCGCCGCATCGAGAACCCGCGCATCATCCTCCTCGACTGCCCGCTCGAGTACATCAAGGGCGAGTCCAAGACCGACATCGAGATCTCGGGCGAAGCCGACTTTAACCGCATCCTCGAGCTCGAGGACGCCCACGTCCAGCGCCTCTGCGCCGACCTCCTCGCGCTCAAGCCCGACATTGTCATCACCGAGAAGGGCTGCTCTGACCTGGCGCAGCACTACCTGATGAAGGCCAACGTGACTGTCATCCGCCGGCTTCGCAAGACCGACAACAACCGCATTGCCCGTGCCGTCGGCGCCACCATCTGCCACCGCCCTGAGGAGGTCAAGGAGAGCGACGTCGGAACCGGGTGCGGCCTGTTTGACATCCGCAAGATCGGCGACGACTACTTTTCTTTCTTTGTCGAGTGCGAGGCGCCCAAGGCGGCCACCATCCTTCTCCGCGGCGCGTCCAAGGACGTGCTCCAGGAGATCGACCGCAACCTCCAGGACGCCATGAACGTTGCCCGCAACGTTGTCTTTGACCCGCGCGTCGTCCCCGGCGGTGGCTCCATTGAGATGGCGCTCTCGCAGGCCCTCGTCCGCAAGTCCAAGTCTATCGAGGGCATCGAGCAGTGGCCCTACCGCGCCGCCGCCGAGGCCCTCGAGGTCATCCCGCGCACATTGGCCCAGAACTGCGGCGCCAACGTCATTCGCCTCATGACGGAGCTCCGCGCTGCCCACGCCTCGGGCGACAACGCCACCATGGGCGTCAACGGCATCACCGGCGAGCTCATCGACATGACCACCATCGACATCTGGGAGCCGTACGCAGTCAAGGTCCAGACCATCAAGACCGCCGTCGAGCAGGCCACCCTCCTGCTCCGCATCGACGAGATCGTCTCGGGCCTCGCCCCGCAGCAGGCCGGTGGCCAGCAGGCCCCGCAGCCGCCCGCAGGCGGTCCTCCGGGCGGCATGCCCATGCCGCAGTAGTCGCCTCTCCCCAACCCCCCCAACCCCCCCAACCCCTCATTCATTCATTGAACGTGCTTGCGCGCGCCACATACTTGCTCTTTTGCCGCTACCCTCACTCGCTGATACTTTACCGCTTCCACGACTTTTCGCCCACCGGGTCGTTGTCGTCGTCCACCACGTACTCGTCGTCGTCGTCGACGTCCTCCTCCTCGCCGACGAGGTCCTCCTCGCCGTCGTTAGAAGCGGCAGCCGTCGTGCTGCTGCCTTCTCCGCGCGAGGCAGTGCTGCCGCTGCCGCTGCGACTGCCAATAGCGCCGGCCCGGCCCGAGTGCCACTCAAGCGCGATGGTGGCGCCGTCAAGCGACGTCGCGCCGGCCTCCTTGACATACTCAGCATCCTCGCGCGAGCGGAACTGGATGTACGCCACGTGTGGATCGTTTTTGTCAAACGAGAGCGACCGAATCGGCGCAAGCGTTTCAAAGTGCTTGCGGACGGCGGTCATGTTTCCGGCGGCGCTCTCGCCGAGGCCGCGGATGACAAAGCCGGACGGCGGAGCGTCGCGAGCAGGCCCGGCGTGGTAGCCGCCCCGGCCTCGCCCACGCCCCCGGCCTCGCCCAATCTCTACCCGTCCACTTGTTCATTTTAGCCTCGCCCGCGCCCACGGCCCCGGCCCCGCCCGCGCCCATTCGTGGCAGCCGGCAGCGGCGCGACAGTGGCTGGTGGCGAGTCCAACAGCGCCTTGAGCTCGGCCTGCAACTCCTTAACGTTGCCAGTGATCTCGGCCATCTTCTCGGGCACTTGCAGCTTGGGGTTTGCGAGCATGAGCTTGAGGATCTTCTCGTACTTGGCGAGACGCTCGCGGAGGAGCGCCACTTTTTTCTTGTGCATGTCTGCCGCAGCCTTGCGCTTGGCGACAGCCTCGAGCTTGGCGGCGTTGACGGCGGCGGCGTCGAGCTCAGTGGCACCCGCTGCGGGCTCAGCGCCCCGGATCGGCCCATCGTCGCCGGCAGCGACCTCGTCGTCGTCGGCGAACTCATCACGCTCACGGCGGTCGAATCGCGACGAGCCCTCGTAGCGCTCGGCGCGCTCGGGCCGCCGCGGTGCCGACGCCGGCGCAGCCTGTGGCACGGCCTCCCCCGACGCCACGGCCTCCATGTACGCCTCCATGTTGCCGGCCTCAGTCTCGTCGTTGGCAAACGCCCACTGGAGCTTGATGAACCGGTTGCCGAGAACAGCTTTGGGCGACTCGTACGCCCGCTTGGCAGACTTGGCTGTGAGGAACTGGATAAAAGCCGATGACTTGGGCGGGATCGGTGTGCACTTGACAATAGCTCCAAAGACGCCAAAGTGCGCGCGCAGGTGGCTCTCAGCCAGCAGCTCGTCCGGAATGTTGTACACTCGCAGTGTCAACTTGGAGAACCGTGACGAGTCCGAGTCGCGGCCACGGCCTCGATCGCCACCACGATCGCCGCCACGGCCTCGATCGCCACCGCGATCGCCGCCACGATCGCCGCCACGGCCGCGTCCGCCGCGATCACCGTCACGGTTGCCACCACGGTCACCACTGCGGTCGCCACCGCGACGGTCGCTGCCGCGGTTGCTAGTCTTGGCCGGACCGAACGGGATGTCGTCCGGCGGCTGGGCGTCTGGGTCGAGGAAGCCAGCTCCGCCACTGGCAGCGGTAGGAGGCGGTGGAAGCATGCCTGGAGGCGGCGGTCCGGGCGGCGGCGGGCCACGGTCGTCAAACCGACCTCCACGTCGGTCGCTGCCGCGGTCGTCAAACCGACCTCCACGTCGGTCACCGCGGTCGCTGCGGTCACGGTCACCACGGTCGCGGTCAGAGTGGCGGTCGCCACGATCGCCACGGCGGTCGTTGCCACGGTCACCCCGGTCACCGCCACGGTTGCCCCGCTCGCGATCGCGCGAGCGCAGCATCTCCTGGCTAGCAGAGCGGGCGGACGAGGCATCTCTGCGCGGGCCGAGGCGGTCCTGGAGGCCATGGCGCCGCTTCGCCTGCGGCTCTACATCATCATCGTGGCCAGTAGCACCGGTGTGGCCGCTCATCTCATCGATGCGCGGCGGCGAGAGCGGACGCTTCCTCGACGGCTGAGCATCGTCAGCGCCAGCCAGGCCAGGAGCAGAGGGTGTAGAAGAAGCCGGCGGATGATTAACCGGACGACCACCGGCAAATGAGCGCGACTTAAGCGCCTTGAATATGGTATCCACGAACCAAGCAGTCTTGGACTGAAGGAAAACTGCGTCTCTGAGAAGCACAGTCGCCGCAGCTCGGCCTCGGGCTTGTCGTCCGACAGCAGCGTCACCACAAAGTCAGAGAGCGTTTCTTGGTCAGCAACCGTACTGTCATCAGCATAATGGTAGGGAGTGTAGGGAGTGTGAAGGTGGGCCTGAGTGAGTGTGTGTGGACGGAGGGGGGGGGGGGGGGAG